CCAATTCCACCGGTTCCAATAGTCTCATTTTGGCGGGTAGACACGACATTTTCCTTTGTTCCAATGCCTAGTTGAAAGCCAGTTTCATCCCAATTATATAATTCATTGGCTTGGATCTTATTCTTTTTGAGAAAATCACCAAAAACCTCATACCAATGAATTAATTCACCGTGAGATTCAGCCTCGATTCTCGCTTTTTCTATAGGTTTTTGGGTTCGGAGGGTAATATGGGGTGGTAAACGTTGGATAAATTGATATCCGTACATTTTACTAACCCGTCGGTCGGAACCGCAGTATTGTAAAATGCGATTTGCAGCATCCTCAATATCAAAAGCATTAGGTGGTGTATAGACCGAATTAAGGAGCTCGATCCAATGAATCAAAGACTTCTCTTGCGACTCATTTAATGCTTTATTGGTAGCTGCACGCCCTTTTTTACTCGGTCGGCCCTCATTTCGGTTTCGCAGCTTCCACTTTGACACGTTAAAATGGGAGGCTGCAGACTTGATACTCTTAAATTGACCAGAATTATAGGCTTCAAGGGCATTTGAGAGCAAGATCTCTTCTTTTTCGGTAGAAAACGGCATTGTTTTGGTGGAGAGAATTGGGTTTGAAATTGAATAGTTGAATTTTTTGTGTTTAGGCATTGGTTTGTGTTTAGGCATTGGCTCACTGACAGGAGGGGACCGACTGTCGGTGAGTGCTTAGTCACAATTATGGTTTAATGGGCCCCCAAATGGGCCCCAAACATTGCAAACATGCCAATTCTTGGCATTTGCATAAGTTATGTAGACCTTCCTAGTAATTTTGAGTATTACAATTACCACCTGAGGCCCCTAATTGACTGAGATCTCATGGAAATCGACGCAATTCACTGATTTATGAGATTGATGAGATTAACTGATGAGATCAACTGATGAGATCGATTGATTAGATCCCAAGAGGTAAAACTATCTACATGCTAATAATGCTCATACAAATCATCCTCAACATGCCTCCTCTTCCTCCCTGATGTCCGCACTTGAGACGGTGCCGCATGAGACGGTGCCGCAGCGATAGTAGCATCGTCATCGTCATCGTCAACATCTATCAGATCACCGGATCTATCACCCTGCTCTTCAGCATCACTGATCGCATCAACGTCGACGACAGCTAGCACCTCAGCTGGCTCCTCGGCATCATCACCTGGCTTTTGAGCCGCCTGAGCCTCCTCCACCAGGATCTGAATCTCATCAGAGCCAAAGAACTGCTCAAATTCCTTCGCCTCTTGCACTTCAAGATCAAACCTTGACGTACAGAGGTACAACATCAGCTCTTCGATAGTTTGCGCCTTCAAAGAGCCCCGGCGATAGTGGCAGATATCGCGTGCAGTGTTAAACAGACGTTCAACTCCAGCACCTGTGGCTGGAATTGCAAGGTAATCTCTTGCAAGTGCGGCAATAGCAGGGAAGCGATATTGATTCTCTCTCCAAAAGGAGAGCGGCTCATCAGATATAGTTAAACCTGTAAGAAATTAGTATCATGAAGATAGGGATGGTTTTTCGGCCGAAAAACCATCTCTCAAGAAAGAATAAACATAGAGATTAACTTACTGCCGTCGAGATACTGCGTCATCTCATCATCTTTAGTCGGGCCTAGCGTTGCTTTACCAGCTTTGCCTTTGCGTTTGGAGAGAGACTTCGGGGGAGCCATCAGGCCAAGAAGGAAGGATCTTGGCATCGATCCAGAGGAAGACACTTGCGGGCTATTTAAAGTAGTAAGACGCTCCTGGATAGGAGTAAGTGCCTCACGGAAAGCCACTCGATACTGCTCACGGATCTCTTTGGCATCCTCCCAGTTATCAGATAAAAAGAACTGGAATCTACTATCCGGCGATAGCATCGTACAAACCGCATAGATATGCCCGCGCATATGATCCGTCTTCTTATAGTACTCCGACAGTTTTGAATGGCTTGCTCCGAGGGAGGTAAGCATCTGCTGTTTCCATGGAACACGTTTTCGTTGTAGCTGCGACTTGCACTTCTCAAGGTGTTCAAAGAGCTGGTTATAGATCCTGAAGACAAGAAACGACGTCGCCTCTCGTGTCTTCGAAAGGGCGAGCGTAAAGTCAAAGAATGGCTTTGTGAGATAGATCAGATAGTCAATTTGGCGCCATTGTTCATCATCAAGTTCGAATTCTGTACAGTTGAACTGACGACAGTATTCATTGATAGCAGTACGGAGCCTCTTCGCCCGGCGTAGCATCAGAAACGTTGAATTCCATCGAGTTTTGACGTCCTGGATCGGCATAAGTCCTTGCCCTGGAACTTTGCCTTGGCCTTTGTCGAGGTCGTGTTGGACTTTGAGGAAGTGATCTCGACGCTGAGGGCTCCCGCGGATATAAACAGCAAGAGATCGTATCCTCTAAGGTATGCGCAATGTCCCGTTTCTTAGACCTGGCCTCCGCATTCGCCTTAGCAAGGCTAATCTGTTGTTCCTCTGTCCAGACAGTCTCGGCTTGTTCATTCTTTGGGCGTGCTTTAAGTCGGTGAAGTAGTTGGTTCAGACTTAATTGGATGACATGAGCGAGACAGGGGACCCGGATGACGTTAAAACCAGTAGCCGAAGCCGAAGGCTCTTGTTGTAAAGACTGTTGTAGTGCCTTAACCAGAGTCTCATTATTCGATGCGTTATCGGTGGTTATTCCAAAGACTCGGTCCTTAATGCCATGTTCGGTAAGCGTCTCCATCAGAATAGCACTTAGGTTTGCACCTGTATGCGAACTATGAAGGGGTTTAAAGCCGAGTAGCACCTCACGGTAGACCCATTCGGCATCGATGAAATAGCCAGTAATAGCCATAAATGCCTGCTGAAATGGAGATGTCCAACAGTCTAACGCAATCGAGATCTTTGCATGTTCTGGAAGCATTCTGAGTGTATCATGCTGTCGTTCTTTAACACGGCCAGACAGGCGACGTCGAATTGTATCAGCGGAGGGCACGATCGGAGGGCTTAGGGCGGATTGTGCCTAGATTCAAGACTTAAGATTTAGTTAGGTGACGAGGCAAATAGAGGCTGATTGGTAAAGACGGCGGATTTGGAGGATTTGGGCGATTTGACGCCTACGGACTGGCGTCTGACGGACTTACCTCTGCGATGAGCTCACGAAATGCTGGATTTTCAACGATTTGGAATGGAAGCCGGTTAGTAGTAATAAACTCCAAGATTTTACTCTCAAAACCTTCTTGCGAGAATGTCTGGCTATGACTACCCTGATCATGATGCTAGTTAGTAGGGTCTAGTAGAGCTAGGTATGATAGTATACCGTTTGAAGGAACCTCGTCAATTCAGCCCTCTGCCGGCGTCCACTTGTAGCCTTTTGGCAGGCTGAGGTCTGAAGATGACGGGTAATTGTTGTCGTGCCATGACGACCAACCCTCCCATTGGCATCCTTCTTAGTAGTATAAGGGTGCTCAAGAATTGCATCGCAACGCTTACACAAGACCTTTGGGTTTCCAGTCGCCGTATGGGCCACTTGCTCAAACTGTTTCCAGGTCTCCGAAGCGGAGCCATGCTGTGACTCCCAAGCGATCTTGTTTTTAGATCCATAGTCAGTCTCCAACCACCAGTTGACCCAATCAGTGTGATTCATCGCGTCGTAAAGGAAAAACTGGCCTCCTCTCCTACCAGGACCGACACGTTGGAAGCGTTCAAGGGGATCTAGGGCGATAGACGAAGGAACAGACGGCTCAACGAACGAGAAGCTATCAACCTGCCGAGAGGTGGACGGAGTAGCTGGGCAAAGAGAAGGCGTAGCAATTGACGAATTGTCGGGCTCAGTGTCGAACAGGCCCAACTGGGAGAATCTAAACTCCTGGCTTTGCGACATGATCAGGATGACAACTTGATAGTAGGTTCAAAATTGGATGAAGGGCTTCAGGGGAATAGCTTCAGGAGGAAGAGATCGACATACCTTCTTAGTGAGAGAACTGTCGACGTATCGACGCCGTAGCAAACAGATATTGTAAACAGAGATCACCGTAGCAGTCGACATTAAAACGGAATATCTTGATTCTAGCATCTGATTGGCTAGATCATGCATATGCAGTGAATTCAGCCCATCCAAAGCCCAAGAAAAGTCCATGGATAACCCATCTCCCCGCCCATTTTACAATTTGTTCGCCCAAAACATTTCACCCCATGGCTCATGAGATATCTTCAAACCTCTCTCATCTCTGTAATCCCCAGAATATTACGTTTCTGTGAAGACAGACGTTAAGTCTGAGAGATTGGCTATCTTTTGGTATAAATTTCAACTCTATAAACCTATAATTCATAGATTTGACCCTTGAATCTACAGTTCAACAGAAACATGCACCTACTTCTAATTATATGAGATATATATCTCTACATGTTGACACTTTGGAACTCTCTAAGTACCAGAATACTACGAAAACTTGGTGAAATTGGATTGTTTTTTGGATGACGCCGGTAAACTATAGTGCCTACTGTAGCTGGCTTCATCTACGACCTTAATTACTATGTCGTCGCCGTTGGATCTTGAGATCTTGATTCTTGGGGGAGTTGAACCCCCGGATTGGGAGTTGAAATACTAGATCAGGCCTGGTAAAACGTCGGGCCGATGTATGCCTTGTAAAGGCTTACAGACTGGAACATGCGTAAAAAACAGGCATTAATCAGCGGTTTTATGAGCGCCAAGATCGTAGTTATGCATAGAAATGGGCTATATTGGGGGCCTCATGGGCCCCCACTCATGGGCTATGGGTTGGGGCGGGCTATAGAGGTTAGGCCCACAGCCCACTGCTGGTTGGGCTATGGGCCTAAAGGTCGGGCCCATTTATGGGCTTTGCGGAGGTCTAGTGAGGACGACGTGGTCGCATTGAGCCTCTGCACTGCACTGCCGCCCAGAACACGGCTCACTATCATTCTCCTCGTAAGTTAAACTGTCAGCGAGAAAGCTTGGGACCAGAGCGGTTACCTTCTCGATCATCGGCCTTCTGCTAGCGCTGTGTGGCCGAATCAACCTCCATCTCATCCAACCCAGCTTTCAATTGGCCCCCGGTGAAGATCATCTGAGAGGCAGTCTGGTTGAGACCCTTGGCCGCGTAGCGAGGCTCATTGAAGTGCTCGACAAAGTGAACTGGCAAGTGTCGGAAATTGGGCAGATCCAGGCCGTCCAGCCAGATAAGCGGGCCGCTGCTATCCTTGCCGTGATCGTGATAGTTCCAATTAGGTGTCAGAATTGCATCCCCTTTCTGCATTCGGATGCGTCTGTCATGCACCGCCGTAAAGCCTCCGCTACCCTCTATAATATAGCGCATCGCGAAGGCGGTATGTCGCTGGGCTGGGGCGGTCTCTTCCGGCATCACCAGTTGCAGGCCAGCGTAGAACGTATCCGTGGCATGGGGGGCATCTACCCGAGGTGTCACTAACAATTCTAAACAATTCTACGCCACGCCAACCATACCAGCTGGGGGCATACTTCAACCAGGGTTCACAGTATCAGGACTCTCCGCTCTGCCTCCTTTTGGGTGACTAAGTGACCGTCGCGCACCAGGTTAGAGCGGATGCTGTCATACACCCACACGAAGGGAACAGCCGTGAGGTTCAACTTCCGGGGGAGGGGGAGGGTTCACTTTCGCCATCTGGGTCCAGATGGACAGGCTTTGCTATATTCGAGACCCTGCAGCAGTTGCGCCGCGCTGTCCACGTTCCCGGGATGCTCTTCTACAGGGGAAGAAGCCATTACGATTGTAACGAACAGTGCAAGTACATGTACAAATGGTATGTCAGAGAAATACACCGATGGGACCCTGTGTAATTCTTACCAAGTGTATCTAGATGTCACCTACTCGCCCATAAGCTCACCAAAATCATTGGTATGGCGGTGAAAGACGGTGTGGCTCTGGGATCCTTGTCCAATATCAGCTGAAACGAATATCGGAAAGCAGAAGGAGCTGGTATTGTCCCTTTCCGAAGTTCCCGGCTGTGGCTCAGACGACACAAGAAATCCAATAGTTATAGCCAATGGTAAATCGAGACCACGGGTTTACCAACTAGAGTAAAGTTGAAATAGGGGATATTGAACGTTTAAGGGGAATGATCCGTTCTCTCCCCGGAGAGGAACCGAAAATCGGATCCCGGATACCGGATACCGGATACCACGGAGGACAAGCGTCTGGGGTTAATTTATGGAATCTTCAGATCGCTTGCCATTGGAAGTGGGTTAACTCTATTACCTCTGCCTCTTGATATAGTTTGGGTCAGTGCTGACTCTGTTGTAAAATGTCAGACAAGCCCCGACAATCCCCTCTTCGACCCCGGACTTCCCCGCAATGTCTAGCTAGAGTCAAGACCCTCCCTCCGGTCTTCAGTGCGCCACACGATGTTACTGTTGGCGGGGAATATAGCGGATAGGCCGGGAGCTGGAATTGAGACATACAATGGGGCGTAGGTTCTCGCTTGCCCGTTCGAGCCGTTGCATTATCAATACAGATAACCATACACTGTTTTCCTGGTTCTGAATTTAAATACTTAAAAAGGCCCTTGTTCTTCTTTTTCCTGCAACATTTCATCGCCCTGCGATCTATGACAGCTGTACTTCAAGCTATCATTATTTTCAAAGGACTCGATCGTTCATAATCTCATCGAATTTTCACATTCAGTGACGCTGACTTTGGAGCCAACCTTGCTTGGTGGTTGCAGAAACCATGGCACACGCATCTTCACCGAACGGCGCGATGACCAGCCCCCGCGTATGGAATCTGGACTACCCTCAAACCCTTCTGCGTTGTGTCTAATCAAGAAATACGCAGGATTGGCCTTTGTGGTGGCGAATAATGGTTCTGTTTAATGTCAGTGCCTACACCATGTTGGGTAACATGTTTGCTGCCGGCATTACGCCCCTCTTCGGCCTGATCATCGTGGATTTCAAAGTCAGCACTGGCCAAGTCTCTACTTTGTCATCATATGCCCTGCTGGCCCTTGGGATTTCGGTACGTGAGAATCCTATCGTATGTTGACGAAGTAATCTGAGCAAAGGCAGAACATGTTCGCGGTTGTGGCATCCAAATACATCGGGAAACGATATACAATCCTCATCTCTCTCGCTGTGTTCACTGCTTCCAATGCTTGGGCCGTGTACGCGACGACCTTTCATTCACTCATGGCGACAAGACTCGTTGGTGGCCTCTCCGGGGGAGTCGTCGAAGCCCTCGGCCCAGAGATTATTGTGGAAATATTCCACGAGAAACACCTTGCTTCGGCCATGGTCATCTATGTAGGATTCCTGGCAGCCGGATCCGCTATTGGACCCGTTGTAGCTGGGCTTATCGGAACCGCGACGGGCGAGTGGCAATGGTACTTTACGTTCCTGGCAGTTTTTGCTGGGGCCATCATGCTGCTTTGCATCCTGATGCTCCCGGAAACTACCACTAACTCACAGTCCATCAGCTTTCCTAACCAGCTTGCGGAGCCAGTCTCCAAGAGGGATGCTGAGCTTACCGAAAATTCTGAAATCGCCTTTAACCCCCGACAAGAGGATAATCTTCATGATGTATGGGTATCGCGATCCTTCAAGGTTCAAAATTCAGATTGGAACCGAGATGAAACTGCAGTCCAGTGTTTATATGTGCCCTTCTTGATGCTTTCTAAGCCTGCTGTTCTCGTCACAACTATTGTATTTGGCCTGACAATTGGATGGACCGTTGCCTGCTCCATTGTGTTCTCCAATGTCTTCCAAAAGCCACCCATGTTGTGGACTGCAAAAGCCGTCGGCTTTTTGAATATCGCTCCGTTGGTTGGACTGATGATTGGTCTTCCAATTGGCGGCATTTTAGCAGACAGATTGTCGGCCCGTTCTGCCAAACGACATGGGGGTATTCATATCCCGGAAAGTCGACTACTCATAGTCACCATTGGTGGTTTTCTCAGCCCTGCTGGTGCTCTCATTATTGGGCTCACTATGAGCTATCACACTCATTGGGTTGGACAAGCCATTGGATGGGGTATGCTGTCACTTGGTCTGACTGCATCTGCTAATATTCTCCTCACTTACGCGGTTGACTGTTATCCCACCCGTGCTGCACATACAGCGTTGATGGTGAACGTCATCAAAAACCTTCTGGCATTTGGTGTGTCATTCCGGTCAATGGATTGGTATTTACGTGATGGTCCTCTAAAGCAATTTGGTGCTATGGCAGGAGCTCTGTGGGCGAGTTACCTGCTCGTGCTACCACTTTACTTCCTTGGTGCGAAAATCCGAACTCGCTTCCACTCGTGAAAAGAAGGAACAGTTCATATAGTTACGAAGAAATAGCACAGGAATGGACGAGTTATTGAGTGACTATTGAATTCAGTTGGTGATAAATGTCAAAAATAAACAATCATATGACCGTATCTGTTCATCACATTCTTGCAATAGCAGGATTTGAGGGGAAAAATAAAAATAAAGATAAAAAGATATCAAAATGCACCATTATTCAATCGTATAAATTTCAGTTATTGTTCATGCGGGCCATACCTAGCGTGATTTCAACGATACAGATGATAAAAAGAAGAATACAAATGGATAAAAAGAGAACGCGGATTTCCATTAATGTCAACCAGTTCAAGATGCCCTCGTAGACGCGTCGCTCTTAAGATTATCAATGACTCTACTTGGTCTAGGGAAATCTGTCACCTTTTCAGAGGTTGGATTGTGCGGGTTGCGAGAGTATTTTGAATTGCTATCTCAGATTGTTGTTAAAGTACACTTGACCTTATTTCTTTTCATACAGGGCGATATCTGAAGTCATTCTTACGATCTAGATAATGGAGAGAAGATACACTTGGCTAAACACGATATACTTCCCTGCATCTACCAGCTGAAACATGATTTTTACTTGATCGTAGGTGAGTACCATTAATCGAGCACTAAAATCACCTTGCTCGCATTCGTGCTATCTAAACCGACCGAGTATTGGTATTGCTACTGCTCGTCGAAGGATCTCCGTAAGAGCGCAGGCATCCTATCCCAGACAGGCTTTTTATGCGGAGTGTAATTATACACGATCAGCATCTCAGTTGACTGAGCAATGAGGCCGGTAGATTTTGTCCTCAGTTATTCTCCTTTGACTTGCAATAGATAGCTTCATTTTGTCTTCTAGATCCATGAAACTGTCGTAAATATCACCTTTAACTGCAGATATGGACATAATGATGTTTGTTAATACTTAGTGTTTGCGCCAGAAATTTTAGCTCATGGAATTTCTCGTTAGCCCAAGGAGATCATAACATAGGTTGATGGGTTTAGTCGTTTAAGCAACCCTAAATTACCCACAATCCCACAAAGAAAGTTAATTGAACATTGCACGGAATCTGCTTTCCGATTGCGTGGCACACCCCCTACTTTCTGTGGAAGAGCCCATACTTTATTTACTTCAGGTCGAGAAAATGGGGCGGAGACTTACCCCTAGAACAGGATGCTTATAGGCCGATCTACATCTCCTTATTGAGCAGGGTAATTTTAATGGACCGTAGTTGTGCATTGAGACGCATTGTCTTATTCAGAGCGGACCTCCTCCCTGTGACACAGACGTGGTGTTTTTTACCCATGTGTTTATCTCAGCGCAAGCAAGCCTCCTAGTCTCTTTCAGTCTTAGACGCGTTGATCGTCTTTTTCGAACATTCGCCCCTAAACCGCTGTGCATTTTGCGCTCTTACCTCATTAGTGTATTCTCGTCGTTGTTCCGTAACATTAGAGTTCCGTCGTACTACAGCGGATATCAATATTCCGGTAGTACGTCGAATTTGGCCATGCAGTCCCCCAAAAGATATTGTCAAGGCAACTCTTGCTAGGTGGGCGGTATTTATCAGATCATACTCTGCCAGCCCTAGCATGTACAATGGACAATGTCGGCTTTAAAAGCGTCTGTGGGGGTCAAAGCCTAGCCCACAGTATAGCCGCGTCACAGAACGACCCCCACCCCTTGGGTAGGATACGGTCCTGTGACACGGCTACCGTTAGAACTGACATGTGCTCGTTCTAACAATACTAACTGCATAGACTATTCAGCGATTGTGGGTCTTGAGTATATACTATGAGCTTCGTGATAACACAACTAATTCAACAGATCCCCTTCGGCTGGCTCAACATACATGGGCCCATACATCCCGTTTATAATATGTACGGACACCGGCGCAGCTGCACAGTGATAAAGGTACAGACATGGGCATATGAGCCAAAATGTCGCTGTACACTTTGATATGATAACTGACAGTTTCTGCTCTGTCTTAGCGGCTCAGCCAGCGATTACTGTGGCAGTAATTGTGACCCGAACTACGGTGACTGCTCTAGTACTAGTACCGTAACATCGACAGCCGCATCGACTAATGTAGTGCGACACCATCTGCAACTTCGAGCTCCAATGTCTCACCTAATGGACTCAAGCGCTAGCAATAGTGGCTACACCTGCCTCGGATCTCAGTTCGGAGATTGCTG